TGCCCAAATATCAAAGAGAAATTAAAAATGCATGCTGTGGAAGAGTTCGGGTCTTGGGAGGTTAATCACACAGCAAACACTGGCTCACATACACATGTGCAAAACAGGACAACGGATGTTCAAGCTGGACATTTACTTCATATACTATGAAGTAATATACTATACATATACTAGTAAAAAAAATCATGAAAAAAATGAAATGGATTGCGATCTGTAATCATGTTTTGTGGTATGGGACATCAACGCCCCTCCATGAGCAGCACCAAAACCCTCAAAGAGAACAGAACTGGGATGAAGATGGGTTGCAAAGCAGCTTGTAGACACACTTTAAGCAAGCTGAAGGAGCTTAAACTGTCACGGTTAGGTGGTCCTCACCGATTACCTTGCCATTTTTTGGGGGTGTTTGTGTGTACTGCGTTGTGTTCTCCTCTCCATCTTGTGCATGTGTTTTGCTGCGGAGACATGTACCTCCGGAAGCCGTGGCACGGCACGGCAGCTGACCGGAGGGGAGGGTCCGGAGCTGGAAGCGTCGCACCTGTACGTAATTATTTCGCCGGCTACAACTGATCTGAAGCAGCCCTATTTAACGGTGCAGTCGAGTCACAACCAACGCTGGAACGTTGAACTAAACCGGGTAGCGTAATCGTGGCTAGTATACTCAGCTTGTGAAAGAGAGAACGGTTGAGTTACAGTGCGTGTGTTTTTCTCATCTGCCCCCAGGATTCAGAGATCGGAGGAGGAGCCGGCACAAGGAGCGGTTTTGGATTATTACAGCACTGTCACAGATTGGAGAAGTCAAGGAGCGGTTTTGGATAATTACTGCACTGCTCTTTCTGGATTACAGACTCGAACTATTGACTCACCTTTTCACTGTGAATAAATTCACTGTCACTCTGCAAGAAGTCTCGCACCTGAGTCCTTTACTTCCATTTCACCATGACATAAACAGCATAACGAATGTCTGAAGAAAGTAGCATGTTGAACATTTGTCAACTGGATGCTTAGAAGGGCATGACCTAAAGCTACACTCAAATCCATTATCTATTATGAGACTAAATAAAGTAAGTTTTCCCCGATGTTTGAAGTAAGTAACTAAGTAAGTAAAATTTATTTATATAGCGCTTTTGACAGATAAAAATCACAAAGTGCTTTACAACACAGGAAATGGGAATATAAAAACAATATAACAGTAAATAAAACAATGTAAAACAATAAAACTATAAAACAGCATAAGAAGAAATTAATCAAATGCTTTTCTAAATACAAATGTCTTCAGCTGTTTCTTAAAAGAATCAATGGAGTCCGTGCAGCGAAGAGACAGTGGGAGAGAATTCCACAACCATGGTGCCACAGTCTGAAAGGCCCGATCCCCACGAGTTTTAAAACGAGTGCGCGGTACCACCAGCAGTCTCTGATCTAATGACCTTAAAGCCCGAGAAGATGTATGTGGTTTCAGCAGGTCAGATAAATATTGAGGAGCCTGACCATGTAGGGCCCTAAAGGTTAGAACTAAAATTTTAAAATGAAACCTAAAATTTACAGGCAACCAGTGAAGGGAGGCCAAGACTGGAGTGATATGCGATCTTCTCTTGGTGCCTGTTAAGAGACGTGCTGCAGCATTCTGCACAGTCTGAAGACGATTTAAGGCTGATTTGTTAAAACAAGTAAAAAGGCCATTACAGTAGTCTAAACGAGAAGAAATAAAAGCATGAATAATCATCTCAAGTTCAAGCTTTGATACCATTAGTCTGGGTTTAGAAATATTCCGTAAATGATAAAAACAGTTTCGGACCAGCTGCTTAGAACGCTGCTCGAGCGACATCGAGCTGTCAAATACGACACCGAGATATCTAAGGCTTGATTTTACATAAGGGTCTAAGAAGCTGATATTCTGTCTAATTTATGGGACCATGTGGTCTGGAGCAATAATTAGAGTTCCATGTCACTGAGGTCCATTAAGGAAAAAGGGGGGGGGGGGGCATAGCAAAAACCTATAAATCTATATATTAACAGACACTATCTCTACTTTTAAGATTAGGCTTAAAACTTTCCTTTTTGCTAAAGCATATAGTTAGGGCTGGACCAGGTGACCCTGAATCCTCCCTTAGTTATGCTGCAATAGACATAGGCTGCCGGGGGATTCCCATGATGCATTGAGTTTTTCCTTTCCAGTCACCTTTCTCACTCACTATGTATTAACAGACCTCTCTGCATTGAATCATATCTGTTATTAACCTCTGTCTCTCTTCCACAGCATGTCTTTTATCCTGTCTTCCTTCTCTCACCCCAACCGGTCGCAGCAGATGGCCGCCCCTCCCTGAGCCTGGTTCTGTCGGAGGTTTCTTCCTGTTAAAAGGGAGTTTTTCCTTCCCACTGTTGCCAAAGTGCTTGCTCATAGGGGGTCATATGATTGTTGGGTTTTTTTTCTCTGTATCTATGAAGCGCCTTGAGGCGACTTATGTTGTGATTTGGCGCTATATAAATAAAATTGAATTGAATTGAATATATAAACTGTTAAAAAAATCCTTTTCACTCCATTTTTCATTTTATGTTCCCACAGCTTCTGTTATTCCCTGATTTAATTAAAGATCTAAGATATATTGCACAACTCAGGTGGATCCAGTGCATCTCACTGCCGCTTAGAGACTCCTGAAAAACTTTTGGTACTGCAGTTTGGTACTTACTGTTTTGATCTAAAATGAAGACAGATTCAACATTGGCATGGCTTTTTTTTCTTCGCTTAATGTTATTTCCGTCAGTCAGAAAGAGATTTTGCACTATTTTTTTAGCACGAGAGAAAGTTTGCAAACTAGATGCAATCCTGGTTCTGCTTTGAAATCAAGGAGCAAACAGACCACCCAGTGTGTGGGTTAATCATTAGAAACTACGTCGGGTGGATAAACTTTGCTCCCAGACTTTCTAGGCACATCAATTATGGCTGGGTGAGAAAAACCCAGGAAACAAAACTCAAAAAAAAATTGTAAAAAGAAAAAAATTATATATCAATGCAAAGACGTGGCTTTGTTGTTGAAAGCCTAATAGAAACAGAATCTCAGCAAAAAAGCCGTGTTTGTGTATCCCACACGATCTCAACCAACAACACTGGACCTCTGAACGCCTTCTACAAGTGCCTGGAAGTTTTTATCTCCTGAAATATACAAGTAGGGAGCTGCTGTCAATGCGGCAAGCTCCTTATCTTCCTGCTGAGCGTCTTTCCAACAGAGGAAGACGGCGCTCTGCTAAGAGGATTTCTATTTTGGTTTAATTTAATTTCTTAGCGGACAGACGGATTGTAATTTGGTGGTTTCTCTATGAAAACGTGTTGGTTCCATAATCTAAATTTGTTTTAGTACAGATAGGGGATTCATTACGAACTCCAGGAGTTGCTGCTTTAATTCGGTGCGTGCGCGCTTATGTGCGCACACATACCTGTAATACTAAAAGCTGATCTGTGGTGTTGTTGTGTGTTTGTTGATGTGTTTGTTTATGCCTGCAGGCAACATGAGTTTGTTTTGTGTGATAAGCTCTCCTTTTATGCAGGGATGCAAACTTGTGATAGATTTATACATAACTCTGTAGAGTCTGCCTGTAATAAATAGATTCCTCCAGAGGTTTGTCTTTCAGGTGCTGCAGAAACATTTTGCTACAAAGAATCTGCACTTTCTCAAGCTCGTCTGCCGTCTTTAACACAACACACATGTTGTATTGTGTCAGACTTCTCTGTGTGTTGTCATTTATACTTGTGCATGTTCGTTTTATATACTGCACTCTGTGGTTTTGTACCTGTAGTGTCGAGTGTCTCTCAGGGCTCGATCACTGGGGATGCGTTCACTCTCTCTCTGGTTGAAAGCGTACAGAGTGTACGGGTCGTCTCCGGGCTTCCAGCGCCGAGCGCTCAGGTAACTCCGCTCATCAAAGCCCTCCAACATGTCCTCCCACTCTGCATCTGAAATCTGGAAATCAGTCAAAGCCGTTAAAACGAGAACTAATGATCACATGTAAAAGAGAAATGCACTCTCATCAAATTTGATGCGGTATAACAGAAGACAGAAGATGCAGTTTCTGTTTGTTAAATCAAAATATTAAATAAATCAGTTTGCTCTGTTTTATTTCAGTTATATCAGCCTACGTGCTGAAAATGAAGCCAACAAGAAGTGCCAAACGGTCACTTGAGACAGGCTGCAAAAGGGAGTCATTCCCCTGAGGTGCCCGTGCTAAAACATCCAACTTAGACCATGAAAAAAAATGTGTTTTAATGTGGCATAAAAAATGTGTCTTGTCTTTAGAGCCCATCACTCCTTTTTTAATAACTGCATTAGGACTAAACTTTGTTTTTTAACTCACTCATGTTGGATTTTCCTCAGGCTTAATGGTGAGTGTTTCGACTGACACGCGTAGCTGCTAGCTGTGTGCTAGTGATAAATATGGTTGCCGTGTGGTACAGCCCTTCCAACAAGTCTGTGCTTAAGTTTTGGTGAATGAGAGTCTAGCATTGTATTAGTCTGACATGTTAATTAGCGGACACATGTGATTAAAATGGCAATTTCTGGTTCCTGAACAATGGTGCAGTAGAAACGAGTTAGCTTGCAGTGGGCAAATGCATGAGGCAGTCAACACAATGAAAAGATCTACCATGTGTTCAAAATCATCTTTGACATATAAGAAAAGAAACAACGTGATGTAATCTTTAAAAAAAAAAGCATCAGGTTCACAGTTATCTTTTTCTATTTTATCAGTCATCAGAACATTTGAACTAGTGAACGTTGGATTTATTCACACATGTTCTTTGCTGCTTACAGCAGAGGGCTTTTTAAAAGCATCTGAAGAGCTTTTAGGGGTCATTTTATTTAAGGGAGATTCAGAGAGCTTTTCAGTTCCTGCTTTTTGGTATTTAACAAGATGAAGGCCGTGCTTCAGTTTTTCATCCTCTTTGCTGCCTGCTTATTTTGTGACTAAACGCTGCATTTTTGTCTCTCGGCAGCTTGTTTGGTTTGTACTTTGATGTTGTAATTCTTCATTATGTGATGCTCTAAATCTGAACTATCCAAACAAACAAACATAGAAAAGGGGTGCACCACTTTTCCTCTTCTTGTTACAGACATTTAAGGGCACAAATCAGCCAAATACACCTCTAAATAACAGCTTTTCACACATAGTGCCTGCATGTTATTGCATTGTTGCACTGCTGCCAGCATTGTGAAAAGCCCAGTTTGGATGTAGCTTGTTAGCCAGTCAACAGATCAATGAGGCAATTAGTCATCAAGTCAGTCATCCAGCATGATGATCAATTAAATGTGTCAATGCAGTATTGCATGAAAAAGAGAGGCCCCAGTCACACAGGCCAAGACACCTGTCAGCAACCGTGAGGCAACCACCGGCCACGAGGGAAAAATGTACATTCCCCGACCAGTTGGCAAGTGGTTACTGGAAGGTCACAGGTGTGCAGTGCAGAGGTGTGCAGAGCGGCAAACACTGCAAACTGTGAAAAACTAGAAACAAACTGTTTGCATTCAATAAGCAATAGGGCATTTCGTTGCCTTGTACTTGTGACATGACAATAAAGTTGAATTCTATTCCATCCATCCACTTATCCTTTTCAGGGTCGCGGGGGGCGCTGGAGCCTATCCCAGCTGTTATAGGGCGAAAGGCGGGGTACACCCTGGACAGGTTGCCAGTCTATCGCAGGGCTAACACATAGGGACAGACAACCATTCACACCTAGTGGCAATTTGGATTATCCAATTAACCTATCCCCACAAGCTGCATGTCTTTGGACGGTGGGAGGAAGCCGGAGTACCCGGAGAGAACATGCAAACTCCACACAGAAAGACCCCAGCCTGATGGTGGAATTGAACTCAGGACCTTCTTGCTGTGCGGCAACAGTGCTAACCACCGTGCCACCGTGCTGCCTTTCTATTCTATTCTATTCTATTCTATTCTAAGGCACAACTTACTTTGAAGGGGAGCGTTCCTAGTTTCTGGTTTGCCTCACAAATTGGTAATTAGTAGTGAAAGTATCACTAACGCTCAGAGAGTACATTATGAGTTTGGTGCAGTACACTCTTTCCAGCAACCACTTGCCAGCTAGTTGGGGATTATACATTTTTTCCATAGCAATTGGAGGTCATCAGGGGGTCATCAACTGGTCTCTAGACCTGTGGGACTGAAAGCCTAGTGATCGTTACTGGTGCTTACAGGGACTATTCTCAGTCTTCTAACTTACACCAAAATAAATTAGCATCAGACTGGCGTAAAAATGAGCTAAATTCACTGCTCTATGTCCAACGCAGGCAAAACATGACAACTTTCAAATTAGCTCCAACAGATATGTTTAGGAGTAAAATCACAACGTGTGCTGGAGATACAGAATATTATTTGTCTCTTTGTGTTTAAGATCATTTTGGTCAAAGGAGAGGCGGGTGTTTATGATGCTACAACTATAACCCGTCCAAAATCATTTAAACACTTTAACATTGTGACTCTTTAATTCAGCTCACAGATGTTTTCGTTTTTCGCACGTTTACCATAAAATATGCAAATAAACAATGTTTGATGCTCTTGTGGGTTTTGAGGGCTTTAAGAGCAAAGGGGAAACAAAAATGAAACAAAAAAATCGTCTGGTACACCATTACTTTGTAATTCTGGTACACCACGCAAGACTGATGCAAGTTTTCTAACCTTCAAAAACACTGGCATCAGCTCATATCAGTAATGTATGAAAATCATATGCAGAGACTTAAAAAAAAAGCTACTTGAGATACAGTAGGTAATCCATCTTGCCTGTAGTTTTTTTGTCACTTACTACTAAGTGGTAATGAACATGCATTCAATTCATTTTGACATCTGAGAATTGATGGTTGGCTGCTGAACTGTTCTGCATTCATGATTTTGGTGGTTGGAAAATAC